TTCTGCAGCCATGAGAAACAACTCCACAATCTTAGTGGATTAACATAACAAAGATTTAGTCTCATTTATTCCAAGTCTACTGCAGGGCCCTGTAACTCTACAGGGCACTTATTTGTCCATCATAGGATGGCTCATTGTTGCACCTCAAATTCTCTCAACCACCAAAGGCAAAGAACGATCAGCAGTGGAGAGCTGAGAGCAGTGGAGAGCATTTAAACAATTAAATGCTTCCACCCTGAAGTGACATGTTGCTTTTATTGGCCAAAGCAAGGCAGATGGCCATAACTAACTTCAAATATATGGGAAAGAGAGGGACCCCAGATATCAAACACATGTGCATATCTGTTTACTGAATGACATGTAGCATATTTTTATTATGATTTCTGCTCTGTGTATAATTGCCAGTCTCTTTGGTAATCCTACTGCGTAAGCGCATGGTGGAAAGTTCACAAACTGAATTGTCTGATCGTCGTATTATTTGACTGATTTCTTGTTTTAATTCTACCATTCCCCTTTGGACCTCATTTTAACAAACAAAAAAGACAAATGATAATTTAAACATTAGTCAGGATAAATTAATTTGAAATGCTTTCACATAGCTGCGAAGCCATCATTATCATGACTATACATTAATTGCACGCTTTTACCTCATCACATTCATTAAATAGATCACTAAACCTTATTCCTGCCCCGCCTTCCCAACATGTACAATGCTTAGATTTTACTAATGACAACTTCAGTGTGTTACCTGCCTTGATACCATCCAGGCACACTAAAACAAATGTATTTCAAATACAACCAGAAAATATGTTGTATGTAACCTGGGAAAAAACTTCTATGTGAGAAGCATTATGAATGAGATACTGAAATTCTTTCCTTCATAATTCAGATTGATTTATTTAATAAACATTTCTTTGGATAGTTTGTAAGGGGATAGTGGAATGAAAATTTGGTTTCTATGAGATGAGTAACCGTGTTTTCAGAAGAAAATGGTTAAGCTCCCATTTACAGCTTTTAGTGGCTTCTCACTGATGTTGCTGTGTCCTCCCAAAGCCCTGCAAGTTCCAGCTCCAGCCCACGTCTCCCTCTCGCCTCATCCCACACCCACTCCTCCTGCACTTGACTTCAGCTACTGGCCTGTCAGTTCTGGAATTCCTCTTGTTCTTTTCCACATTTTCCCCAGGACATTGACATTTTGGAAAATCCAAGGCAGCTGTCTTGTAGAATGTGCCATACATGAGCAAATCATGGCACATTTTGTACAGCCCCAGAGGTACCAATAGTTTTACATTTTTAAAGGGTTGTAAAAAATAAGAGAAAGAAGAAGGAATGGGAGGAGAATGATGTGACAGAGATCAGATGGCCTACAGAGCCTACAATATTTACTATCTGGCCTTTAAAAAAATAAAGTTTTCTGACCTCTGTTCTAGATCTTTGTTTCTTCATGGTATTATTTAGTTTGTACCTCAGTTTCTTGGATTTTGGGCAGATCTAGAACTGTGCTGTTTGCTGTGGTAGTCACCAGTCACATGTAGCTATTGTATCCTTGAAATGTATCTAGCTCAAATTAAGGTGTACTACAAGGGTAAAAAACACCCCAGATTTCAAACAACTAGGATGAAAAGGGTATAAAATATTTCCTTAATGATTTTTATATTGATTACCATGTTGAAATAATACTATTTTGGACATATTGAATTAAATAAAATGCATCATGAAAATTAATGTCACCTGTTTCTTTTTTTTAATGTGGCTATTTGAAACGTTTAAATTACATATGTGGTTCACATTTTATTTCCACGGGGCAATGCTGGTCTAGAGTCTTGATTAAAATCAGGTTGAATATTTTTGGTAAGAATACTTCATAACTGATCTTATTACATCATATTGCATCACAGAATGAAACATACATTAGTTTGTCCCATTATTAATGGCACTAAGTATGACAACTTGATTAAAGGGTGACTGACAAGTACATATCTCCATTGTAAAGGTATATTTTCCCCTTTACAACTTGTAATCTATTATAGCCATGAGACTTAATTTCCCATTGACTTTTCACTTAATGGTTTCAGTATCCTTTGATGATCCTTGTTTGAATAAGTTATTTCATTGGGATTACAAACTGGTGTTTTGTATTTTAAAAATTTCTTAATTTTTTTAAGTGGCATTCTTTTCTTCCTTTCATTTTTTTCTTCCTTTAAAATGTTTTTTTTTTATATCACAATGGACACATCAATTTTCATTTACTCAGTATGTTACAATCAAGTGCAATTATTATTCTTTTTGATATTCAAATCTTCCTAAATTTTGTTAGTAGGAGACCTTTCAAGTTGGTGCCTGAATCCTTTTATTATAAAAGGACTTTTGAGTGTTTCCTTGCCTTCTGGTACAAGAAGTCCCAGATTCACCTTGTACTTTCTCCATCCCAGAAGTGGAATCAGCCATTTCTTAAGAAGTCTCTATTTCTTTTAATAAGAAATGTTATTCCAAGTAAATAATGCTGCAATGAACATAGGGGTGCATATATTTTTTTGAATTAGTATCTTGGGTTTCTCTGGATAAATACCTAAGATTGCAGCGCTATTTACAATAGCCAAGACTTGGAAACAACTGAAATGCCTATCGATAGATGACTGGATCAAGAAACTGTGTACATTATACAATGGAGTATTACTCAGCTATAAAGAGGAATGAAATTGTACCATTTGCATCGATATGGATGGACCTAGAGAACATAATGCTAAGTGAAATAAGTCAGTTAGAAAAAGACAAAAACCGTATGATTTCACTTATATGTGGAATCTAAAGGACTGACTAAACGAGCAAAGTAAACAGAAATAGTCTCAGAGACATAGAGGAAAAACTGATGGTTGCTAGATGGGAGGGGGATGAGGATGAGAGAACGGGAAGGGACGCGACAACATAAATTGGTAACTACAATATTGCCACAGGGATATGAAAGACAGCTTGGGGAGTATAATCAATAATGTTGTAAATATTTTTTAGGGGGCCAGATGGACTCATGTCTTGTTAGGAAGACCACTTCATGGTCAGTGCAGAGGCTTGACCACTGCACTGTATATCTGAAGCTGATGTTGAATAATATTGTATGTCAACTAAGATTTGATATATATGTGGTTACGGGATGTGGAGCACAGTGTGGGGAGCAGAGTTGATGGAATTGTGATAGATATATATATATTGGGGGGGCGGTTGATTGTGAGAGGGGAGTGGTCACTTTGCGAGGGGTGAACCGTTTAACTATTGCATTGTTTTGTACATCTAAAAAAAACCAGTTATTCCAAAACCTAGATTATGGTGATAGATATGATCAGAGTTATGGGATGGCATTGCTTTTGCCCCTTTCAGTAGACAAAGCTAAAAAATTCTAAGAAATCACAAGCTCATATTGGTATTTCCAATTCAAGTTTAATAGTGTAGGAGTTTTTCTTAACTTCTTTTTTAGGTTTGTATTTCTTTTCATGTACATTAAAAACCTTCATTTGATAAAAACAAAGACATTTACTTATTTTCTTATTACATAATTAATTATGTAATTACGTTACATAATTTCAAAATTACAATATTACAACTAGCGTGTGGTGAAGTTTAAGATTTCTTTGTAGATCTTTTGTTCTCAGAATATAACTTAGTAAGAGTAGGTGAAAGGTGATTGAGAGAAGGATTGCAGAGTGAGAAGGTCCTTGCTAGAACCCTGGGGAAGGCCAGTAGAGGAGCCCAAGGAAAGTATAAATGGCTAGAGAAGGAGGGGGAAGACCTGAGGAGACAAGTCACAAAAGTCCAGGGGAGTGTTCTAAGAAGAAAATAGTTATCAGTGTCAAATACTGCTGAGAGGTGAGCTAAGACAAAGGCTAAAAGGTATTCATTGGATTTAGCAACAAAAAGACCAGTAGTGTAACTTTTGTCAGAGTGGGTTCAACGTTGTGGTGGAAACAGTAGCCCTTGTGAGTATTAAGGAAGGAATTCAACCTCCTATAGGTGTCCTTGGAAACACTGGTATTTTGTCAGCTGCAGCAGAGACTTTTTCTACTAAAAGAAACAGAAGTGGGCGTTTGTACCCAAAGGAAAAAAAATCAATTTTAGCATTTTCTCCCATAAATTTTTCTTAAATCTTTAGTGCTGGCTGTTGTTTATTTATATTAGAATCTAGCATAAAATGCTTTTTGGATTTAGCAAACAGTGTATGCTTAGTGATTTTAGGTGTATTATTAGTAATTTCATAATAAATAGTATCAAAATTGTAATGTAATAATATATTTTATGGTGTTCTTCAAAGAGCATCATGATTTTCAAATAGCGTCCCCATCAAGTATAAGAATCATGGCTCTAGAATAACTTTTTAAACCACTGTCCTTTCTGTTGCATTTCACTTCCCCACCTGTCTATACTCTGTGCTGGAAGTGTATAGTTTTCTGCCCCACCGTGAGCAGGTAGCAGCTAAAGAAATACGGGAGGTCAGGGTGTATTCACTGAAGAAAAGATGAACAGGACTTTGAATGTCACCTAATGCAGTGGTTTTCAAACCTAGCCACGACTAGACAGACGTTTCCGGGTTGGAGATGCGCGGTTCTGTGCTTTGGCTGGTGGCCAGCCGTCCGGAAAGGGCATCTAGGTTTTCGTTTTGGGGTGCTGGGAGAGGGCTTGCTTTCCCGGGCACTCTAGGTTCATTACATGTGGCCTTCCTCCGCGACTCTCTCTCCGATGGAGACGTCGTGGGTTAGCGGTTCAGCAGGAGCCACACCTGCCGCTGCCCAGCCGGCTGGTTTCATCCAGGCACCTGGTGCACCCTCAAGTTTAATGACCGGGCGCAGCGTCGAGACCCCTTCCCTCCGCTGCCTCGCCAGTCGCCCCGCCCCCGTCTCGCCTCCGCAGCGTCCCGACTCCGCTCCCGCGAGTGTGGTTTGGAGGCGGAGCTTCGCCGCCGCCCCGCCCCTCCCCGCGCGCGCTGGCGTTCCCGGAAGTTGATGGTCTGGGCAGTCGGGGAGCTGATTGGCTGATGGTAGCCGCGTCCGTGGCCAGGGTTTTCCGGAATTTGAATTGAACTCTGGAGAAGGGAGGATGGACCCCCGGAATCAGCGAGTGCGCGAGCTGCAGGGACTTCTGCTCCCACCCAAGGACCTCGTGGAGGAGAGCGACGACTGTCTGAAGGAGGACGTGGAGGAGGACGAAGACCCGGTGTTTGTCGATGCCGAGGAGCTCTGCAGCGGAGGCATAAAGGCGGGCGGCCTCCCTGGGCGGCTCTGGGGTGAGGAAGCCCCCTGCCCATGGGGGATGCGATTGGAGGGTGAATGAAGTTTCCCATTGTGGTCTTGTCTCAAGTAAGGCGCTCCATCGCTGTTAACAGACTTCCTTTGGGATGGCCCAGCTGTTTTGTCCTACTTAGGATAAAATAATATTGGTAATATAATAGCAGTGACTTGAGCAAGTATTATGTGTGAAGCATCTGCTTTACCTGTAGTATCTCATTTAATGTTCACCGCTCTTTGAGGCAGTTTTATAGTCGAGGATGTGAGTAACAGTGGATGTTGAGCCTGTATTCACACCCAGAATCAGGGCTTCTAACTATTTCCGTATCCTGCCTGCAGTGAAATATGTGGTTATTTTTCTGCTACTTAGAAAACACACACACTCAACACCTCAAGGCATTATTGATTCGTTGACCTTCTGGTAATAATCTTGGCATCTGTGTTTACGTTGTGCACTTTCCTGTGCTGTAAATTACCCCTGTTCTGTGTATGTTGTTATTGATATTAAAGAATATTCTGATATTAAAGAAATTGAATGTTCAGACCAGTGCTGTCCAGTAGACTTTTCTGTGGTGATGGCATTTTTCTCTATTTGCAGTGTACAGTATAATAGCCACTAGCTACATGTGGCTATTGAGAACTTGAAATGCAATTAGTGCGACTGAGTACCTGAGTTCTACATGTAATTAATTTTAGTTAATGTAAATTTAAATAGTCACATGAGTGGACAACGCAGATGTAGATAGAAAATTGTCAAGTATGTATGGAGGGTTTAGTCATTTATCCTGAGAGTATTAGCGACCGGCCACCATATTCCAAGCAAGGTGTTTGCTGCTGGGATACCCTGCAGAGCGAAGATAATGAGGTTGCTATCTTACTGGAGCTTACCCTCTAGTGAATTAAATAATCACAGAAATAATTGTAATATTCCTTAGTGCCTGAAGGACTAGTAAATAATGCTATGAGAGTTTATATTTATGAGATTCAGGAAAGGCTTTCCCGAGGAAGTGACAATTAAGCTGAGCTCTGTAGTAAATGGGATAAACAGTGAGGAGAAGAATATTTAAGGCAGATGGAACAGCTTATGCAAGGGCCCTGTGATGGGAGGGACCATGGCATTTTTAGAAACTGCAGGAAGGTCAGTATTGGCTGAGGTCAGAGTAGCAGAGAGAGAGAGAGGACTGCTTTTAGAAGAGGAACAGCAGGCTTTTGCGAGGTACCAAGGCTTACCTCTTGGAATACAAAGACAAATATTTTCCTATTCTAGAGAGCTTACAGTGTAGTAGAGGGAGACAGATGACAGGCAAATGGAATATAGATACCCTAGTAGACATTTGTACTAGGTGCTCTTTGGGGGGGAGGAGAGGGTGTTAAAGAGAAATGGTGGATTTGATAAACTGTTGGGAGAGAGGTTTTTAAATATACTAAATTAACTTTCCTTTTTTAAAGTTATGATTTCTGATGAAAACACTCAAGAGAAATGTAAAGTGTTTGGACGTTTTCCCTTAACGGGTCCATGGTGGCGAGTGAAGGTAGAAGTCAAACCTATGGGATCAAGGAACTATCAAGTTCAAGGATTTCCATCTTACTTTTTACAGTCTGATATGTCACCACCAAGTCAAGAAAATATCTGTTCACTTTTTCTTAAAGACTGTGATGTCTCCAGTGATATTATCACTAAGTTTTTAGCATGGGTAAATAAAGTATCAAGCTATAAAAATCTTAGCTTTGAAAATCTTAGGGAAACATTAAACACTTTCTACAAGGAAATGAGGAGAAATGGTAAAAAACAATCTACACAGACTGAACAGGAAGATTACAAGATACGCCTTCCTATGGAAGACAAAGGTAGGTGTGATTTTTATCATAGAGTTTTAGTGTCATTGAGATGCTTACTGACTAGTGTGTTTTAAAATAGTGCCACTATGGTATTGTGGCATAGTATTCTTTTTGAAATAGGTTTGATAAAAATGTGTTTATACTGCTTTTGGAGTATGTTATTGACCTTCCAGATTCCTCATCTTTAATATGAAGAAATGGGTGAGATGATCTTTAAGCTCTTTTCGGTTCCTTTTCATCTCTAAAACTGTGGTTCTCTCTCTCTAACTTGTGTGTCCATAGGGTTACCTTGAGTCATTAAGAAAAAGTTTAGTTGTCAGTTATTTTATTTAAGAAGGCAGAGGAGAAAGGCAAGAATATGAGTAATCCATTTTGAAAAAATTTCAGTCCAAAATAATTTAACATAATTTTTTTAATATGGTTTGTTATTTGGACATTCACATATATGGAACGTTTCATTTCTTGGTCATATCAAATAAATTTGGTAGAATGTCATTGAATGACTTCAGAGACAAAAGGATAATGATTACAGTCAGAAAAATGATTATAAAGGCTAATATGTAAATGCTTTATTTTTTATGTTTAGCTTTGAATTTATATTTGTATCAAATCAAGAATTTTATTCTACAATCATTATTTGCAAGCAAGAAGAAATTAAAGGCCACGAAGTAGTTATCTAAGCTTTTAAAGGGCATACATTTTTGTGGTAAACACAGTGAAAACCATCTTGGTATAAAAGAAATTGTTATAATATCAATTTTCTTTCTGGTTAAAGTAAATTTATTAATTTCTCTTTGATTTGGGTTTCTTGAACTGGTTGTTCTGAATAAAAAAGTCCATCAAATCCATTGTTCCATGAGCTCATTTGTATGTTTTGGTTTGTTCTTTTCTGATATTCTGTAGTTCCATTTATAAGTGTAATGACAGCGTTGCAGTTTCCAAAAATAATGGAATTTCTTCCAGTTCTTCTGCCTCGACACTTCAAACGGCTAATAAGCTCAGATTCTAAAAAGGTGTTTGAAAAGATAGAAGAGATTTTAGGTACGCATCCATGGAAACTTGGATTTAGTAAAGTAAGTAAAACATTTGCTTAGCATTTAGTAATCTTATATAAGGAAGAATTTCTCAAACTTCACAATTTTTGCATCTCTTTCAAAGAAAAAAAATTTGTTTGGACCTCAATGTTGATTTATTTTTCTTTGAGTGTTACAACTAAATGTAAAGTTTTTATGCCTGTAGCTCTTATGCAATAAATTAATAAAGCAAAACAAAATAACAAAATGACATTCAAATTATTGACAGTTTAGTTACGTAATGTAATATGACAAAATTTTTGGTAACTTAATTGCTGCTTGAAACTTGAGTACAAATCTATTGAAGACATGAGTTCTTTTGAGTTTGGCAAATCCATTGTGCTCTGTCACTCAGTCCCCACTTTCCTATTTGAACTTTAGAAAACTTTCACTATTCACATGGTTTAGTATGGTATCATTTGATTTTTAAAAATTTTGTACAGTACTGTCATTTACAAATGACTTCACTTCTGTTTTTATCAGAGACCAAGTGTAGTAAAGTGACTATGAGGCTCCAGTGGTGTTGGAAACCAAATGTGACACTTAAGTTTTGGCAGTGTTTGGTTAAAGTACTTGGTGTTCCAAATGAAAATACAATTTAAAAATTCTGAGATAATTTTTGGATCCCCAAGAATGTTTACAGACACCCTTCCTCGTCCAGTTTGAAGACTATTGGAATAATGAATTTGTTTCCTACGTAAAATGACTGTGATTTCAGTCTGCTTTGAAAAATTAGATTCTGGAACATTAGATTATTATATATATTCAGTAGAGAAGAGAGGCAAAGAAGTGAGCATTCTGGGACTCAAGTGGGGAAAGGAGGTTTGCAGTTTCACTGTTCAGCATGTAAACTACCATCCAGAATAAAGACTTCGCGGTATTGTATGACTTTGCTAGGACTGCTGTAACAAATACCGTAGACGGGTGGCTTAAACAACAGAAATTTATTTTCTGACAGTCCAAAATCAAGGTCTTGGCAGGATTGATGTCTTCTGAGGCCTCTCTCCTTGGTTTGCTGACAACTGCCTTCTGTCTGTGTCCTCACGTGGTCATCTCTCCATCTGTGCTCTAATCTTCTCTTCTTATAGGGACACCAGTCATATTAGATTAGGGCCTACCCCAGTGACCTCATTTTAACTTAATTACCTCTTTAAAGACCCAATCTCCAAGTATGGCTACATTTTGAGGTGCTGGGGGTTAGAACTTCAACATATGAAATTTTTTTGGAGGTGGGGGGTGGGAGTGCATAATTCAGCCCATAAAAATGTATAGAGGGCTCCAGGAGGGATGTCAGCATGAAAAAAAAAAATGGAGCTGGTGGATGACCTGAGTGGATCCTGGTGAAGGAAGTTCTGTGCCTCCTCTGTAGAATTTGGGCAGAATTGTTGATAGTCACATAGAAAACTAAAGAAGTCAAGAAAATGAGGTAGTCATGAACTTCGCAGTACACACACCAAGCTCAACATTAAGTGATTGTAATCATGGTACATTATGTTGCTCAGCTGTGAATCTTATTTACACTGATTTAACCAAAATCAGTTAATAAATCAGTTAATAAGTCTCCCATCTTTTTTGAAAGATAGGAGAGGGAAGCATGATGGAGGTGATGGTATAAAAGACAGAGATCTTTTGTCGATAAACTTTCCATAGTAGGGAGTTAATATAAACTATCTAAAAATTTAAAATAAAATTAGGGAATAGTATAAACAGTACTTAGAAATGCAGAGATAAATTCTGGACAAGATAACTGAAAGTGTTGCCTTTAGAAGGCCTGGAAAGGGTAAGTCAGGGGATTCCTATTTTTAGTGATAAATCCCATATCGCTATTTGACTTTTAAAACTATATGTATTGCTTTGAGAAAATTTAATTTAAAAACTACAGGGATGTATTCATTGGACAGTCGATTAAAAAATTAGTGATGTATTAGGTACGTAGTTTTTTTCTCCAAGTTTAGTTGAAATCCATGTCTTCTGGGACTTAAAAAATTATTAACAAATAACATTGTTTTTACTATGATTCTAGTAATACTCATCAACATGTCTCATTTTTATAAAGTACCTTGAACTTTATTTTCTTAAAGATAACCTACAGAGAACTGAAGCTTTTGCGATGTGAGGCAAGCTGGACAGCGTTCTGTCAGTGCACGTCTCTCCTCCCCTTGATGACTGATTTGGAGAAGAACGCATTAATAATATACGCTAAACTGAAGCAGATATGTAGAGAGCATGGGCACACGTACGTAGAAGAAGCTGACTTGACTTCTCAATTGTCAGGCCATATGTCCTTTCAGGATGTTTGGCAGTCGCTGAAGTTTTTGAAGGATATCGAGGTAGTGACATATAAGCGGTCCTGTGTCTTTCTTTATGACCTTTACCAGGCTGAAAGAGACATTGCCTGTTCAATAGGTAACCTGATGACGAGGCCTCCATGGTATTTACATGTCGATGTCAAAAAGGTGCTTGCGACTCTTCGTACCAGAAAACCTGAGAACTCAAGAAGTGATGACACAGTGAATGAAAGTAAACCTGAGGAAACAGGATTGGAAGTGTCTGTGGACATTCTGAACACACAGGATTGCGGCGACCATATTTGGGACACTGGTGAAAATGAAGATGATGCAGAAATAAATGAAGCTCAGCTGGATTGGGATCAGGTGGCTGCTTTGGAAATGATTTGCTCCAATGCTGTGACGGTCATAAGTGGGAAAGGCGGCTGTGGGAAGACCACAATTGTTAGTCACCTTTTTAAGCATTTACAGCTGCTGGAAGAAAGAGAAGTCAAAAAAGCTACTGAGGACTTTGAACAAGACCAGGATGTACCAGAAGAGTGGTTTACCTTCATCGAGCAAAGTCGGCCGAAGGCTGACAAGGCGATAGAAGTTTTACTGACAGCACCTACAGGGAAAGCAGCTGGTTTACTTAGACAGAAAACTGGTTTTAGCGCTTATACGTTATGTCAGGTAAAGCCTTTTACATTTTTCCTCTAGCGAGAGTGTTTGCCTTAAAGACAAATTTTATTTACTTAGTTTATTTTTCATTTCTCCCTGACAACAGTCAGTAGGTGTTTTTTGAATGTCTTCTGGATCCTTGCCTTGTCGTAGCTAATCATAAATGGTCAGTCCCTTTCCAAATAACCAGTTGTGAATTGTTAATGGTTTTGCAGTGAGACAGGTGCCAGTGAGAAAGTAATTCAATGCACTGCTTCTTTTATTGAGAAAGTCTAATAAAAAAAAGTCAGCTAGACATAAGTGTATGCCCAATGATGTAGTTAGTTCAGATAATGGCACAAGCTCTATTTCGCCTTAGAACTGGTTAAAACCAAGCCACAGTTCACAGACCATATTTTGAGAAGCATTAGAGTTGGAAGGAAAACATTTCTATTTCGTAGAAGGAAAGTTCCATAAGTGAGGACTTTGGTCATCTGGTTTAGCTCTTTATCTCCTCCAGCTAACAGTGCCTGGCAAATAGTAATCACATAATACAAATTTCAAATGAATTAATATGCTTGAAAAACAACAGTTTTGACTGTATAGTTAAAAGCCTTGAGGCTTTAAACTTGTGAAGAGTGGTAGAGGTCCCTCTAACCCTGGCCTCCATTTTATAGCTCAAGGAACTTAGTTATTGGAAGATTTCTGAAGGAAATAATATTTAGGGGAAAGGCTTTCCAAAGGCATTGAGAATGATCATTGTATGTATTGAGGGTTTTTAGGTGACTGCATTAATTGGAATGAAGTCTGTGTATTGCAAAATAATGGAAATTAAACTTGCTTTACACCAGGAATTTGACTTTGAAGTTGGTAAAGTATTTTGACATCTCATTAAATCCTTGATAAACCAGTGAAGTGGGTAAATGATGCTCTCTCTATTTTACAGAAGAGCCAGTTGAAATTTGGGGGTGTTAAATGACATGCCCAAGATCTTAACCAGGTACAGAGGTACAGATGAGCACTTGAATTCAGGTTTCTGACTTCCCAGCCAGTTGCACTTTCCACGGTGCCATAGTTTCCTTGTTATTGTCGACCTTAAAACCTAATGAAGAAATTTGGACCTGATATACTGGGAGCCATTACTGGGGTGGTAAGCTAGGGAGTGAAATGAAGAAAGCAGTTTTCAGGAAGATTGCGTAGAATTATAGAGCCACGAGCCACCTCAGAAATTACTTGGCCCACTACTTTTATTTGTCACATGAGTGAACATAGACCTAGAGATGCTCGGTGTAGCTCACTGGTGGAAGGGTCTTCTGATCAGTTTATGATTTTTTCCATTATGCCTTCATGGCTGATGAGTCTGAGGGACTGAATTAGAAGAGGAGGGGCCAGAGAGGGATCATTACTAAACTCCATCTTACGGTCCAACTCTAGTCAACTGGTCGTATCTAATATCTGCCTGGGATGCTGGGAGAGCATTTCTGACATCATGTTTAGGCTCAGGAGAGAGTGTAAGGGTACAGGAAGAGCACTGAGGTGTCACTTACGCCACTGCTTTATCATACTTGGGCTGGGGTTACCTGATTTGGCAGATAAAAATACAAGTCATTTTTAAGTATAAGTATGTACCAAATATTGCAACAACACACTTATATTAAAAAGTAATTTATTGTTTATCTGAAACTCAAATTTAGCTGGGTGTCCTATATTTTACCTGGCGATCCCATGTTGGGTTATTGTGCAGGGGAACCTGGCTGTAAGCTTATTGGAGTAATCCAGGTGCTCATCGATGGGGCAGTATTGAGTTGGTAGCATGAGAAACACAGAAAGTGTCAATCAGGCATTTCTAAGATAACTAGCTGAATATATAAAATAAAAGAAAGTACACAATTAGCAGTGATTCCAAATATTCTGTTGTGAGACAAGGCCACTGAGAGAATGGGTTTTTGTGTTTTGGGTTTTTTTTGAAGGGAATTGATGCATCTGGGTAGGATATATGAAGGCTTTTACTCAATAGACATGTTGAATCTAGTTTCAGTAGAAAACTTAAATAAAAATATACCATTTAAAAAATCTGTATATACAGTATATGCATACTTACAATATAGAAACCTTTCTGGAATGATAGAGACCAAACTATTTAACATTACCTGGCTGTAATTTTATAAGTTTCTTCCCTACCTTAAATAGTAAATATTATTACCTCTGTAATAAGTCATCTTTTTAGTTGTTTTGTTGTTTTTGGTGGTGGTTTTTTAAATGTTGGGGAAGTAAGGGAGTTTAGAATATTAGGAAAAAAAGTAGTATTTTCAGTTAGGTTGGGAATGCAATCCTTTATTTCCAGGATGGAATATTATAGTTGGGAGAAGAAGAGGGCATAAGTGATTGGGGCAGCTCAGAAGGCCAAGAGAAGGTGTTTGGGGATGGAAAAGAATAGGGAGCTTTCTCTCATCAAGAATGATAACAGAAGGGTTGAGATTTTAGCAGTGGAGTAGTGATGTGTACGAGGCTTGTTAAACACACTGAGTAGTCATTAGGAAGCACTTTTTTTTAACTATTTGATCTTTGTTTTTAGATTTATTTGGTTTGATTTTTCTGTGTATTTATAACTTTTGTGTTCTTTATTTCTTTAGCTTTTTCCTGTTATTCTACCTATCCCTCCCCAATTTAAGAGTTTTGCTTTTAAAATAACTTGTTGTAAAAAAATTTTTGTTTTTGTAACTTAGAAGTGCCTTACTTTGCTTGTAGGTCAATTATAGCTTCTATTTATGGGATAAAAACGTGGACAAGGACATTCCATGGAAGTTTTCTTCAGTTAGAGTTCTGGTTGTGGATGAAGGGAGTTTGGTATCTGTAGGAATCTTCAGATCCGTTTTAAATTTATTACTTGGGCACTCCAAACTTTCTAAGCTTATTATCCTTGGTAAGTTAAAATATTGTTGTATTTTTAATTGTTGAGGTCAAAGCACTGTGGTTAAGTGGCTGTTTATACCATTTTAGTGGTTTAATATCTATATCTGACAGGTGGGACGCCATTTGTCAGAGCCCATGCTAAAGCTACACTGAGTTCAACCTGACCACTCGCTTTAGCAGCTTGGGTGGTTCTTTGTTTTGGCCAGGATATAAGCAAGGCCAGGATGTGAACACAGTAGAGTTGTGAGGGGTTACTACTGATCACCTCAATGATGACCATAAAATGGTAAAAAATGTCACAGTACATCAGGATGTAGGTTTATTTGGAAATAATAAAATGTTTGCATTATATCTCACTTAAGTGTAATTTTATGATTTTAAATGGTTAGTTTAAAATTAGATCTCACCAGCCTCATAAGTCCTTTCCAATTCTGGTGAGATTCAGTTAGATTCTATTTGGTAGTACTGATATGTAGACTATATGATTTAATGGAGAAAAAAATAGAATTGCAGTTTGAGAATCAAATTGTATATAAGTAATATTTTTAGATATTTGAGGATATTTTATAAGTAGTTGATTCTATTAATGGCTAAGGCATTCTCCCACCTTCCACCCAGAAAATAGTTTTTCTTATCTCTAGGGTTTGTTTGTTTAAAGTAAAAAGATTTTTAATATAGCAAAACGTTATCATTAAATTACTGGAATTTATCTGTCATCAAATGCATTGGGTTTGTTTATTTTTTCTTTTATATGTTTATTTTGTTTATTTGAGGCCATAGAGCCTTCCATGTTTAGTAAGACTTTGAGCAAGATTGAATAAGTGGCTAAATGGTAGATACCAAAGGCCTGGTTTTTTCTTTACATGCTGGCTTGAAACATAGGCCCGTAGACAGTTTGCCTGTGGTTATAAGTATGAAAGAAGTTCCATTCAAATTTTACCTTTTTGTGTTATCACTATTTTATATATCTTTGTTTAATTTGAATGTTTTTTGTTTGTTTGTTTGTTAAATATTTTTTTAAAGACTTAATGTTCTCAAGTATTTTTAAACAAAGTTTTTTTTGGCTCTTTTTCCTCAGAGTAAGTCTTCATAATTAAAGCACATATCAATAGAGAGAAATCAAAATAATTTCTAAATTTAAGGGTCTGGTTACCTAAAACCTAATGTGCCTATTTTTTCCCCTTACAGGTGATATTAGACAGTTACCCAGCATTGAACCTGGTAACTTGCTGAAAGATCTTTTTGAGACCCTTAAGTCAAGAAATTGTGCTATCGAACTAAAGACAAATCATAGAGCAGAATCTGAACTAATTGTGAACAATGCTACAAGGTATAATAGAACTAAAATTTTGCATCGCCTCTGTATTGTATTAGAAGTAAAAGATTAGAAAATACGTATTAGCTTTTGAATCTGGGCGAGTCAGTGTAGTATATTTGCTATGCCCTTTTAGCAAACCTATCCTTCAGGTGTATATAATATACCTTTTACCCCACAGTTAGAAAAACAAAGTTAATATTTTTTATTACTGGTCCAGCATAAATTATTATTGAAATTTAAGAATGAATGTGTTTTCCTGGTTTAGAAAGTGTACATGTGAATTCAAGTTGCATCAAGCTCAGAGGCTAGAATAAGCCTAAGGGGACAGAAACTTAGAAATGAGTTCAGTAGAGTTTAAGGGAGAATTGGGGAAGAAATTTCCCATAGTAATTTTTTGGAAGAGAGCCCAAAGCAAAAAAAAATAGGTATGCCACTCCTTGATAAGCCTTGGTGGCATCCATGGCATATTACTCTTCTTTAAGTAGAAAAGAACCCTTCTCTTTTTTTAGTCTTTGTGTAAATCCTTAGAGTGATCTTTTGTAATAGATATAATGGGACCTCAGAATACTAAGAGACTGTTTTATTCATTGGCCAAAATTTATCTTTGTTTTGACTCTCTTTTATAGGGTGGTGTTTTATTGCTTGAAGATTTCCTTGGTTGGATGTCAGCAGAAACTAGAAAATTAAAACCTACTTTCTTTATGCCTCTGTCTATCCTGGATAGGCTAGTCGGAGTAGAAGAAGAATTGACAAGAGTAGGTTAGATGATGTAGGTCTGTATTAAGACATTAAGAAAAAGAATGCATTTGGATGTGTAATATTCTTATCTTGTAACCCTTCTGCTCCAACCTAAAGGACACCTCATTTCGGAGATGTTGGTAGATGATTGATCATTTTGAAGTCTAAAAATCTTAGGAGAATCTAAAGCACATTAGATTTCTTAGAACTCAGTTTTATCTGAATCTTAGGTGTTTAGTAACCCTTTTGATATTATTTGGGCTGAGCTGAGCTCCTTTCATCATTTCTTCTTAATCTCCATCACCAGATATTTTATGACAGAAGGACCCCAGTGATACCAGGGAAAAGCTCATAGAAATTGAAATAGAAATGTATTACATGTCCTGGGGCAAAAGCAAAACCGGAAATTTATGATGATTCGCAGTCCCTCAGAAATTATATCTGGGACATTGCTAGCCTTTTTCCCTCTCTTTTCATCCCTTTCAACCCTGTTGGGAGGGTACCACCACCTTTGACAGCCATGCTGCTGTCAGGCCTTTTCAGAGAGTCAGTTTTCTTCCAAATAACCAAGGAGAGACTGTTACGACAAGGCACCTTCCTCTTCCTCTGTCTTCAAATATTATTTGCTAGTCTTGGGAAATATAAGAACAAAAGAGGGATGAACAGGGAATAGAAGCAGAGAGATGTGGATACTTGAGTCAACTGGGAAAATGAGGCCATATATATGATACATGTGGAAGAAAGGAGAAAAAAAAGGGTGTGATGTAAATGTATGGATAAGTCCCAAAGAATCCAAGTTAATTTAAATAGAAAGTGACATGGAACCAAATGGGCCCAGAGTTGCCACCCAGCTCCCCTGCTTTCTACCTCTGCGGCCTTGGGCCACTACAGATAACTAAGCCTCATGTTGCTCACCTGTGAAATGATGCTAATACCTACCTTGTACGGTTCTTTTGTGGTCTGGAGAAAAGTTGGTCAAGCTCTGAGAGTGGTGCTTAGTAAATTGCCTGACTATTTTTTCTTATGCTTTTAATTTGCTAGGGGTGGGGAGTTGACTGCTAAATGTAACATGGTATTGCTAATTCTATTTTAAAACTCACTATTTATAATGTGTACACGAGTAGCCTTTTTGCCCTATTTATCTATTAACATATTATTGTAATGGACATTATCTGTGATCATATCTGAAGATATATTTTTGGATACTAAAGCTCTTGGTGTATTATTTTTATCTTTAAGAATCTCAAAACGCCAATTTCCAAACTTTGATGCAGAGCTGAATATCTCTGATAATCCAACGTTCCCTGTCTCAGTACAAGATAAGACATTTATTTTTGTCAGACTCCCAGAAGAGGATCCCAGTTCTCAGTTATCGAAAACTGACCCTCGCTCTTGTAAGTACAAGCTTTTGTGTTGGGTGGGTTAAATATTTCAGTTTGTAATACAAATAGTTATTAAATGGCTAGTTATAGTTTTATTTCACGGTAAAGATAAATATTGCTAATAAAAATGAGGTATGGAAATAAACTGATTTATTAATCATCAAAAGCAGATTACTCTAGAATTTTATAAAGAAGTAAGCTCTTGTCACATACACACCAAGGGCTTAATAAATATTTGTTGAGTGAATAAATGGATGTAGATGATTACTTTAAACTAAAGCAAAGCCCCAGTAATCCAAGTTCATTCAGGATGTCTTAATGAAGTTTTTCTTTTACAACAATTGGAAAAGTAAATACATTTGTTATTTTGAGTACGTTTGTGAAACAAATGTAATGGCTGTCACACTGTTGCCAAGTTGAATCCTAATAGTCCTATTTCTTATAAAATGGACAAGCATCGCTTCTAATTATGGGTGTTAGGTTGACCTCATGACAGGGTTGAGAAAGAAGATGGGATGAGAAATCTTCTCCCTTCTGTGTAGGACCCATGTCGCATTGCTTAACCTTTTGTAAGATGGGAATCCTAGTGACAGTGCCTATGGAGCTGTTGTGAGGGTTGAGGGCCTTCAGCAGTTTTGACGCACTATATAAATGTTAGTTTTTTAATGAATAATAGATTTTAAATTATCTACTGCAGATGAATTTATTTGAATAGATTAATCCTGTTGATCCTTATTTCTGTTGTAAACTTCTTTTTAAAAATAGTGTCATGGTTTATACAAAATTGAATTAGCAGAGATTTAAATGATTATTATTGAGGATTTACTGTAGTTGCCACGGTTCTTAAGGGTATATCCTTCCTACTTAGCTACTTTCAATCTGCGTATGAAATTAGTGACGTGTGAGCTTTATCTGTAAGCCCTTCCTCCTTTGTGCGTGTCGCCAGTCTCAGTTCCCTTAGTTTGTGTTCATTCACATATTGTAATATTCCTTTTTCGTTTTAAATGGACTCATAGAATACACAGGATTCTATAAATGCCTATTTGGTTTTAGAACTAATTTATAGCCCTTAAAAAAGTCAAATGATACAGAAGTGTTTGAAGTAAAAATTAACATTTCCCTGTAATTTTCCTTTCGCCTCTTCCCTCAAGACAACCCCATAAAGGACATGTACATAATGAGAGCGTGGTCCTTTTAAACCTTATTATATCCATATACAAACATATGTATTTTAGTTTTACATAAATTGGATTATATGCTGTGGATTGTTTTGTGATTTTTTAAAAATTAAGTATATTGTGAATAATGAATGGAAAATATTTATTCTCACAACAGCTTAGTTAGTAGTAGGCACTATGCCTGACCACTGTGCTATATACCTGAAGCTGAAATAAAATAACATTCAGTGTCAACTATAATTTAGTGTATATTTATATATATTATATATATAGTCATGGGATATAAAGTACAGCATAGGGAATAGAGTCAATGGAATTGTAACAGCTATATACGATGTCAGAAGGGTAGTAGATTGAGGTGGGGGTTATCATTTTGTGAGAGGTGTAAATGTCTAACTATTATGTTGCTTTGTACATCTGAAGCTAATGGAAAAGAATTAGTAGGTACTAGGACAGATGAAAATGAGTCTTAGATGGTAAAGTAACTTGGCGTCTTTGCCACTCCATTTAGATGCTTAGTTTTATTTCTGGCACCCACTCTTTACATTAATGAGAATGTACTTAAAAAAAAAAGGTGTCTGTTTCAGAGTGGTAGCAGACCTTAACTGATGCTGTGTTTCTATCTTAATTACAAACTTCAGCTGGAAAATTATTCAATTCGTTAAGATAATTGAATAAATGTCCCAGATAATACTTTTTCATTAATAATTAAGTTATTGAGTAAATTATTCCCATTATTTTAAAGTACAAGGACCTACCTAAGACAGTCTTCATAGCTGAGTTAGAATTTTAGAGATATTAAAATGTGAGAAAAAATATATATCTTAGAATTAATGAAATACAATGTACATATTGAAATACTGTACATATTAATATGCACGATGTAGAGAGAGTGAAAAAAGCAAGGAGCAGAGCAGCATGATCTAATATGTGTAAAAGAAAACAATATTTTGTGAAATCCCTGCTCTGGCAAGCCAGGGGTTGGCTGGGGGTGCGCTGAGTGTCGGCCATGTTTCATCTGAAAAATGAAGGAATCAGCGAACAACTAATATCGTCTTCCTCCAGCAGGGCCTCACAAGGCCCGGGCTTTTTTGTTCCCCTGTGATTCATCCGCTGTGAGGGAAAGGCACAAAAGCCTGGAATGTCCTTCCCCCAAATTTTGTATCTTCTCTCTCTCATGAGAACCGTTGGCTGTCGTGTAATATTGCTAAGAGCGACGAGAGGAAGCCTGCTTCTCAGTGCTCTGAGGAAGGACAAGTTGTAAGTGGGTGCCATCATTGTCAGTGATCTGAGCTCTCAAAGAGGAGGCCAGCTACCCTACCCCATTTGGAAAATTTTACTTCCAAGAATCTCCATTTCGCGTTCGTGGAGTGAGGATGTAATCAGTGGTGACAGTCAAACCATTTGCTAGCTGGTAGTGCACAGCCGCTCTTGCAATGGATGCCCCTGCTGTGCTCTGAGTTGTTGAATCAGGTGGTCTGGGGGTTCTGGGGGCGGGAAAGACATGATTGGGGTAGGGGGGGTCCTTGTGTTTGGAGAGTAGCTCTTTTCCAGCCATTATAGAAGTATCTCAATATTTTTATATTGGTTTGTATCCGCTAAATATGAGCCTTGGATGTAATAATACTTGCCTCGTATGAGAGTCATGAAGATGAAATTAAGTGAAATAACATAATGCCAAGCACGTCTCAAATTATAACTCGTCACCACTGGTGCCACCAGAACTTAAAACAGAAAGAAGGCTTACATTAGTAATTCTGTTACATATTTTGTCCTCTTGCCCATTTTTATTTTATTTTATATATATATATTTTTTAGCCGAGCCATCCTGCCACCTGTTGGCAGCTCAGTGGCAGCTCAGCTCGTGCTGGAAATCAAACCAGCGACCCTGTTGCTCAGAGCTCGCACTCTTGAGTGAGCTCTTAACCAACTGAGCCACTCGGCCGGCCCCTCTTGCCTATATTTTAAATTCAGCATTCATAAACCATCAGTGAATATGCAGTGATTGTATTACAGATGAGGAGCTGTCCTGGCAGTGGCCTCTCTGTGGAGGATAGGGTGCCTGGGGCCTGTCTCCTCCATGCTCTTGTCTATTACTCTGGCTAATGTCACGAATGAGGCTGATGTCCCCATGGTGAGCTTGTATTCCATTTGGTGAGATGTTTTCCCAGACCTGTTAGCAGGAATCTTGAATTTGTTTCTCCATAGCGACAATGTTGTAATTTGGTGCTTTTCTGTGTTAACTTTTTTCTCTTGAATTATCAGATTTATATTCTGCCGTTAAAACTTTACTCAAAGAAAAGGACCTACAATGTGCAGAAACATCACAATTTATTGCATTTCGAAGGTAAAGTGTTTACAGTATTTTAATGTTTTTAATCTGGCTTCCAAACCTCATTACTTATTAATACAGTAGTAAGTAATTAATATGGTAATTAAGTACCATTACTTATTAATATACTGTATGGGAGACTCTAATAGTTCATAACTGTTAATTCTCTCATTTTGAGGAATCTTTTTGTTAGACATGGCAGAGGGCAATTTCTAGACAGGGCTCTTTCTACTAAATATTATATTTAGAAACTCACTGGAAACCTGAATGGAACAAAGGTTGTTTCTAAGATAAAATGTATAAAATATTTTTTCCTGGAGAGACAGTCCTGGAGACTTTTTATAGAATCTAGTATGTCATAATTGTTGATAACAGAAATAAGCACAAAACAGATACTATTAAGGTGACCCTTGCATTTTCGTGTGTTTTAGGCAAGACTGTGACGTCATCAATGACTGCTGTTGCAGTCACTACACAGGCCACCTAAGCAGGTGAGCACAAAAGGACCGAAACTTGGAGGACAGTCCTTCCTTGATTCCCTGTTCTGACATTTATCACTGCAGCCACAAATTTAAACATCGTTTTTTCTTATTCATGAAGTAAAATGCTCTCTTCAGTTAAATATAATATATATCTTTAGAAATTGACTTTTTTGATAATCAGTATAATAATAATAAGGAATAAAATTTTCCTGTGGTTTCCAGATTGTCAACCGCCAGCTTCTCCAAGATGAGTGTGGGCGATTCAGGAGCCTTTTTCATATTATGATATGTGTGTAGTGTGTCCGAGAACCTTAGGCTGCCTACACAGAGCACCTTACTTAGTGAACATCTTTCAGAGAAATAGGAGCATAGAAAAGCCACTCTGTTTACACAGAGGAAAAATGAACTCACGTCTCCTGCATTTATCAACACTTACTATGAAGTGCAGAAAATCCAGAGATGTGTAACGTGCAGGAGGAGTACCCTGCATGTTGAAGGAAGACACACCAAAAAGCCATGGTAGGGAGCCTAACAAAGGGTTAACAAGCAGGAGATTGGGGCCCTGCTCTCTGGGTCTCAGTGACTCTGATCTCAGGCAGGTAGTTTCACCTTTCCATGTATATGGAAGAAGATACTTATACAGTTTCCCTCAGAATTGTGGTAAGGATGAAATGAAATAATATACCTAAAACACGCATTGCAAGAACTGCTGTATCTCCAGCGTTTATTCAATTGGCTGCTATTATTTTAATATAATTGTAATAGAAATAATATATAAGTGCGATAAGACTGTTTTGGAGAACAAAGGTGAAGTAAAGAAAGTGGGGATTATTCTGAGAATTGGATTGGATCTGAGTGGGAGTTAATGTTTAAACAAAATGAAATTAAGGTTTTCCCAACTTTGATGATGATTATTCATTTTCTAACCCAGGGACCATAAGAATAGATTTGTGTTTGGAGTTGGTGATAAAATTTGTTGTACCAAGAATGCATATCTCTCAGATCTACTGCCTGAAAATACCTTCAACAATCAGCAAAATAATGAACTAGAGGCCAATGGTGAAGACTTGAATGGTTTTGCTAAAAATAAGCATGACTTTGTAAGTGGTATCAGACTCTGCAATGGAGAGATATTTTTCATAACACATGTAAGTGATAACAGAAAAATAGTACCTTTTTATCTGTTAGAGATTTGTTGTTTTAATTGCCCTAGGATTCATTCAGAATCCAGTCATATCAGAGTTGACAATTATTCTTCCATAATTTTTTGTCAAGGGTTTTTGCATCCATGTTTGTGAGGAATATCCGTTTGTAGTTTTCCAGTCGTGTCCTGTCTGGTTTTGGTGTCAGAGTAATGCTGGCTTCCTAAAATGAGCTGGGAAATGTTCCTTTCTCTTATATTTTTCTGGAAGACTTTGTGAAGAAAGAAACTTTTGGTAAGTTTGAGGTTCTTGAGTAACAAAAACCAGGGACAAGTAACATACCTATTATATTTTACAAAGCGTCATTTCCTCAGTTGCTGCTTAAATATAGAAACTGCAGAAGTCACCTTGCTTTTGTTCTTATTGTATAAACACCCTCTTAAATGTATAAGCTTAATCTTTAAAGGCTGTGTGGAAAAGTACTCTTTGCAAAGAGTACATACAGACTTATGCACAAGAAATAAAATATATAGACTTCAAAGTAAGAAACACAGACTGTTTCCCAGAGAGTCGAATCTGGTTAAGTTTCAAGGACCAAAACCTTCCATTTGTGTTTAATGAAGTATTTGCGTGTGTATATGTTTAGTTTGTGCTCAAACATGGACTTTAAGCCTTTGGAAATTCTTAACAATTGTAATGAATGTACATGCCATTTTACTTATAAGGTGCTTGCATTTTCTTCACAGTATATTTCAAAACGAACAAAATAACTCTTAGTTTTGGTGACAGGATAAAACTGATGTAACTGTTGGAAAGAGAAGATATTTGACCATTAATAATATGGCTGGCTTGGAAGTAACTGTGGATTTTAGGAAACTAATGCAAAATTGTCACATAAGACATGCCTGGGCAAGAACTATTCACACATTTCAGGTAAGAATGGACCTTTATGAAGCTGTTTAATAGCTCGCCAAGCCATAGAATACTCTGTATTCTTTTCTTCCTCATTTTTATTGCCTTATTTTTTTAATTAGGAAACAAAATGCACAGCAGTATAGAAAACACTATGCAGACATTAACCTTTTGCTCTTCGTGCTTCAGAGCTCTCTTTATTGAGAAACTGAGACATTATAGTTAAAGCCTTACCCTTCAGGTCTTCCCTCCAACCAGGGGTAGAAGGTCAGGACCCGTAGGACTGAATTTGCCCCTTGTTTCAGTCTCCAGTGTCACTTGGTATTCCATTGTTACTGATCTTGTCTTTATTTAAAATTTTGGTATTTTGTTTATCTTGGAATTTTTGGTTTAAAATTTGATATTATATTAAATTATTATATATCTTGATTGCCAAGTTTTTTGGCATCCTCTTAAATATTACACCCTAAGCAAGGATCTCTGTAATTCTAGAAACTCCTATCATTTAATTCTGGGAAGTTTGCTTGAATAATTTCATTAAGATTTTTTGTTCTGAGTTTTCTCTGTTTTGTCTTATGTTGGACATCCAGAAATGGCTATCTAAATTTCTTATCAATCTCTTCTATTTTCTATCTTGTTGTCATTTTGCTGTATTTTTCTGAGCAATTTTCTCAAATTTATAATCCAGTTTTCTGTTACATTTCTGGACAAATGAAGAGTGAAGGGATCTTTATTATTACTGGGTTGAGGTTGGAGTAAGTAAATGTTTCTTTTATTGAATCTGGCTCTTATTTCCCGGTTGAAATAGCATTTCTTACCTCCGAGAACATTCATGATTGTTATCTTGTATCATCAGCATAGTTTCTTCCTTCTGAGTTTAGTTCAGCAAATATTTATTGAGTCAAATTCTGTTCTGGGTGCTTGGCATGGGTCAGTTTATGAAACAGACAAAGGTACCTGCCATTGTGAGGTTACATTTGGTGAGGAAGAGGATAGAGATATACACAACTGTAAAAAAAAAAAAAAAAAAGTAAACTACACATTATGTTAGAGGTTGGTAAATCCGTGGAAAAGGGGTGGGAATGGAATGCAGTTGTCATTTTAAATAGGTGGTCACTGAGAAGGTGGCATTTGAAAGAGACTTGAAAACAGGTCAAGAAGTTAACCCTGTGGGTATCTGAGAGAAGAGCGTTCTAGGTAGCGGGAAGAGCCAAGGTCAGCGTTCTTGGCTAGGTGGGAGCCTGTCTGGTATTTGAAGAACAGGAACAGCAAGGAGGCCAGTGTGGGAGAGTGACAGGAGATGAGGTCAGAGAAGTAACGTGGGAGGACCGGGGGCCAGGTCCCCTCCTAGGGCCTTCTAGGGCTATGTACTATCCACGATAGTAGTCAAATCTGGCCCAGCGCTTGTTTTTATAAATAAACTTTTATTGGAACACAGTCACATTCATTTACGTGTTGGCTGTGACTGTTTTTGTACTATACAGGAAGAGTTGAGTAGTTGCTGTAGAGCATCTGGCCTGCAAGACCTAAATATTTATTCTTTGACCCTTTACAGAAAAAAAGCTTTTTGACTCCACTTTAAAGTCTATATAGACTTTCAGATTCTAAGTCTATAAAATCATGAAGGATATTAATGGTTTGTGTCTATTCATACAAGTTGTAAGTTTTAGAACAAACCTAGAGACTAGAAGTATCCGTAATTCAAAGTCAAGGTATAAAACGTGCCTCCTTAAGAAGTCTGATAGTGTTAGTGATTGAAGGAGGATGGAAAGAAACGGACAAATGATTTATAGCAGGTGACTGAGGTGACGTTAGGTGTCCATGTCCCGCTTTCTGAGCACACCTTTGGCATGGCGTTTTAATTTTTATCATTATTCAGTGAGACACTGGATAAACAGTGGTGAGCCAGTCAGATGTGGTCCTGCCTTCACAGAGCTTACGGTCCGGTGAGGATTACACTTAAAACAGATAGTAACATTCCAGCCTGGTAAAAAGCATGTTACAGAGGAAGCACAGGATGCTGGATGGGGCAGCTAATCAGAAGTGGGCCAGATGGAGGCCACCGACTGGAAAGCGCTGGCAGGACCACAGAGAGTTTTCTTGTGCTGGAGGGAGCGCGGCTCATGGGAAGAAAGGGGAAAGAAAGATCGAGGCCGCAGGGCCGAGGCTGGCTCTTGAAGGGCCATACGAGCCATGTTAAGGAGCTAGGACTTTATTTTGAGAGCCTGGGAGCTACTAAGAGGTTATAAGCAGAGTCTGATGAGAATGAATTTGCCTTTTACAAATATCCCCGTAGCTGCTGGGAGGACAGTGGAGTGCAGCAAGTATGACTGTGCGAGTACAGGGAGACCGATTCTGAGGCTGTTACATTTTTTTCAGTGTTACTGTGATTGATGAGTAAGAACTCGGTTAGCTAAGGTTAGGTAGCTATTTACCCCGTTAGGAATACACAATAGAAAGTCTAAGGGGACAGATGTTGTATCTGTATTTAGCATTCATATAATCAAGTATCATTTAAGTCAGTTCCTGAGACTCAGCAGCATTGGAAGGAAGTGTTTCTCAAACTTTTATCACCTGAAGAGTGGGTTCAAACTCTCTGTGTCTAGGGAAATAGAAGTATTTGCTGTGTAGATGATTTTTTTTTTCCCAGCTGTGGATCTGTGGTTTCTACATGCCCATCTTGTCATTTGTCTCCCCACAATTCTTCTTTTGGCAAGGGTACTATGAGAACATTAGGGAGAAGTTCAGATCACTTTAAAAAATATATATTTTATTGGGAAATTGGGGAAGGGAAACAGCCAAGTTGTTGTCCTTCAATCTTAGTTGTGGAGGGTGCAGCTAGCTCAGCTCCAAGTCCAGTCACCATCCGGCTGCCTGTCAGCTGCTCGTGGCTGCTCAGCTCAAGGTGCCATGTCCAATCTTAGTGGCAGGTAGGCCTAGCCCACCATCCCTTGTGAGAGTCAAACCAGCAACCTTGTTGTTAGGAGCGCGTGCTCTCACTATATGAGCCATCCTTCCACCTGTTGGCAGCTCAGTTGCAGCTCAGCTTGGGCACAGCTCACTGGCCCATGTGGGAATTGAACCAGTGACCCTGTTGCTCAGAGCTCGCCCTCCTAACCAACTGAGCCACTCGGCTGGCCCCAGACCGCTTCTTAGCTTGTGTTGGCACAGAAAATTTAGGGACTAAGAATAGCCACAAAACTTGAAACCTTTCTCACAGTTCCATGACGGCATCGGGCATTTTCCTTGCCTATACACTTCTTGGCTTGGTAAATTTAAAAAGCACAGATTTATTTTTCTCTTGGTTTGTTTATCTTGAAAAAGTAATAAATGGTTCAACAATGGGAAAATACAGAAAGTAGAAGAAAAAAATCATCCAGGCCTTTCATTTTGGAGACAGTTTAGTTATCATTTTGATAGAACTGCCTTTTTGTGGTTTGTTTCGTTACATATTTATGTTCATTTTGTATGTAATTTTTTGGATCAGAATAATTTTATTTTGTGTTACATAGTTGTGATCATTTTTTATATATACACAGAGGGTGCCCCCAAAAAATGTATATACATTTTAAGAAAGGAAAAAACTATCAAAATTGTAATACCATGAATGATGCTAGCATTCATTTGATTAACGCCATCTTTTGAGCGAAGGTCATACTACACATTGCCACCATAATTCAACTTCAAAAAGTAATACATAGATAACATCTCTTAAAATGTGTACTTTTTTGGCACCCCCGGTATGTACCCAGTTTTTAAAATTTTGTTAAATCTTAAAGCATCTTTGATGTTTGTAAAATAGCATACCAAGTATCTATATATAGATACTTTATATAAATATATAAATACTTATATTTGTTCTCCTATCATTGGATGTTTAAAGTGTCTATTTTTTTTGTAATATAAAGTAACAGTGGGATGATACATTTACGCATAAAGCCCATACAATCATTTCAAGTTATTTTATTATTTGTCACTACGCAGTCGTTAAAGTTTATTGCTGGGTTTTTACCAGCCACTTGTGGATCGATGAGACCTGAACTTAGCAGAGTCATTAGACAACATGAGTTCTTGGGTAATCAGGAAAACGGACCCCATGAGATGGATTTATATGACTGCCCTGGCCAGGTAGTAGGTGCTTGGGAGGAACTGTCTCTTTTCTGTCTCTGTAGGCTGACTTCCTGAAGACATGAACCCATGACACAATAGTAAGCCTCCCTAATGCATGCTTTCCTCTCAGGGGTCTGAGGAGCAGACAGTTGTCTACGTGGTTGGGAAGGCGGGCCGCCAGCACTGGCAGCATGTTTACACCGCGGTGACCAGGGGCCGCTGCAGAGTGTATGTCATTGCAGAAGAATCTCAGCTCCGGAGCTCAATTTCGAAAAACAGTGTGCCCAGAAACACACGTTTAAAACATTTCTTGCAAAACGAGCTCTCCACCAGCTCTGCCTCTCCTGCAGATTTTGCAACCCCGTCAAAGAATTCTGGAGACCTCGGAGGCCCCAGCACACAGCTGTCAGCATCACCACTCCCTACGGGCACAGATGACACTGTGACAAACAACGTCCCCAGAAGCCAGGCCTCTGTGGTAGATGACAAGACAGCCGCCTTTGCTGGGGGTTGGAGATTACCTCCACCTGATGAAGCGCATACAGATGAAGATCCATCCAAGCCTCGAGGGTCCAAGAGAGCCAGTGGCATGCGTGATGCTGAAAGTCCAAACAAAATTCCTATGGTAGGAGTGGCGTTCTCATGCACTCATGTTCTATTTAGATATTGCTAACTTCATTGTGCTTATGTATACTAAAGTACTTCGTAATTTTGTTAGTGTTACATGGTGCTGTAGGACGTCAAAACAAGTGTTCTCTCCCCTCTGCCCAATTTCCTCTCTCCTATGCCCAGTTGAGCCTGGCAGTCTTTCACTTGAGGCAGCTCCATGGATTGGCTTGCTAGAGGAAACTTGTTTGTCATCTTACACCTTCTTTCTGCATGTCTTCCGTATCACCCTCCCCTCCCTTTTGTAGGCCATACTCTCACTTTTGTCCCCACTACTCCCCTGAAGCCGCTGGCTCTAGTCATCTATCTCATCAACTTGAGAGGCCTTTGCTTAGGTCTTGTTCTTGACTATTTTTCCTGAAACTTGCAGCAGTTTTCATGTTTCCTTCCCTTGGTTTCCAGGGAACCTTATCTAACACTTCCCCTACCTCACCGTCTCATCTCCCCTTCATTTCTTCACTCTTTTTCTTCCCATCCTCTGACTGGAGACATCTCCCCAAGGCTCATTCTTTTTTCCTTTGAAAACTGATCCCGTTCTGCGAATTTTAGCCATCCCTTTTGAACTGATGATTCAGCCACCAATTTTGTGCTGAACCCCTCTTAAGTACTCAGTTCAAGAAATGGTTTTTCAGCGGTCTACTACATTCCAGATGTTAGCAATTCAAAGGAAAGTGACAGTTCCCAGCCTTGCGCTGATGGCCCATGGCGGAAACACATAGGTTAGTAAGTAACTTGGGGCTTCACTGACTGCTCTTAACACTGAACAGAAGGCCAGGAACCAACTCCCCCATCTGAGTCTTTGTTCCCAGAGACTGACTTTCTGGAACCACAGCCCCGCATCTTACTCTCTTCTCTGATTTCTCCACTTCAAACACCATTGTCCCAGCTGCACAAGCTTAAAGTTTTGGTGTCACCTTAGACTCACTTTGCTTTCACTCTCTGCCTCTAGTTAGTTACTAGGTTTATTGCAAAATATATCTTTCATCTCATTTCGTCTGGGCTGTTTTAGATCCTGATCTCATCTTTGATGGTTGCTGATTGGCTACCTTACCCTCTTATTCCCATTCTCCTAATACCCCCGACACATTGTTACCAATCAGATATCATTTAATGTGCACTTTTTAAAAAGCGAACCCTCTGGCTGCTGCGGACAGTTAACTGTGGAAAGTAGGGTGGAGGCAGGGACACCAGCCAGGAGTTTGTCCTGAGGAAAACCTAGTGAAAGAGCAGGGAAGCTGATGAGAAAGGTCTGCTAGGTTCTTGATGCATTTTGGAGATGGAGTCTATATGACTTGCTGATTAGGTAGATGTGAGAGAGTAAGACAGAAAGGAATCCAGGATGATTCCTGGGTTTCTGGCGAAAGCAACTTGGTGAATTGTAGTGTCGTTTCCTGAGATGGAAGAGACCCGAGGAGAACAGGCCTTGGGGAAATGAAGACTTCTCTTTTGGCCTGTTTTGTTTAAGGTTTCAGTCAGACATACAAGTGGGCTTGTTGAGAAACTCAGTGGTTGGTTGAAGAGTTTCGAGCCTCAGCTGGATCCGAGTGGGTAATGTCCCCTTGGGAGTCATTAGCGTATCGTGGTAATGAAAGGACTAGGTGAGTAATTTCAGGAGCGACCACAAATGGAGGAGGGGCCTTCTGATGGAGTTCTGAGAATTCCCAGCTTTTAGAGGTCTGACTGAGGAGCAAGAACTAGCAAAGGTCAGTGGAAAAGAGAGTGAGTGAGAGGAAAGGAAAACCAGGGTGGTGGGGAGGGCACGGAAGCCTGATTCGAGCATGCTCAGGAGAGAACAGGAGGTGAGAACGTGGAGGAAGAAGTAGAGGCAGAGTTTTGGCAGACGGTTGTTATGAAAAGAATCAGAGGGATAGGGTGGTATGTGGATAGAGGACTTGAATCAAGGAAGGATTTATCTCTTTATTTTGGATGGGTACATCAAAGTATCGTAGAATGGTCCAACGGAGAGCAAGAGATTCATGATTGAGAGAGAGGGGTTAATTGCAGGAATGGAGTCCTGAAGTGGGTGAGATGGGAAAAATCAAGAGTGTAAGTTGAGGGCTTGCCCTTCGATGGCATTGGTCCATTGCAACCCGATGGGAGCAGGTGCAGTGCGCTGTTGGGTTCAGTGGAGGGAAGATGAAGTAGCTCTCTGCTGATTTCTTCCTCCCGCCTTATCTCTCCTCATGGTAGAGTCCAGCTGAGTTCTGCTTTGTTTATGAAACCCTCCCTTTATTTGAACCGACACATTTGCCTCTGTACAGCACTTGCAGTAACCATCTTGTTTGACTCTGTAGATAAAGCTTCGTGAGAACAGCATTTTCATCAGACAATTGCTGACCCCATGATAGCAGCTCAAAAACACTTAGTGATTAAATTATGAGTTACGACTATGTGGCAATCAAACCCTTTTTAAAGAAGTCGGACCTTCAGGGTATTGTTCTTTCGTGTCATGCTCAAAGTCATACTTTTTCTTTTACTGTCCCACCCCCCTGGTTTTGAGCATCACTTTTACAGGCAGCAAAAGATCCTTTTGAATGTTTCTAAGGGGATCAAACTTCTATTGAGACCTATTTTTGTTTTTAGAAATAACCCAAAGTCATTTGTTTCCCAGTTCTATGAATTGGATGATCCAATTTCAGTAACACCATTTTGTGACTTAAAAAAAACGGGGTTATAAATTACCTCCAGATGTAGTTCCCCCAGAAGCTTAAGAATTGTTTTATGTGTTGTCAACAGACATGTTGGAATGAGGCTTTAGGCTTCCAGGGCCGCCCGCAATCAGGATGAGACGGGGCAGGCCGTGTGGGAGCCCGTAGGAGAAAGTGCTGATGTAATCTGCCCGTACCAGGCTGAGTTCTAAAGGGAGAAACATCTTCTGACCGCACATGGATGTGAGACGTTAAAATGTTCTCTGAGAGTGCCTGACAAAGGGCATAGTGTGTGAAGTATCGGCATGCTGAGCAGCTACTAGTGTAGAATAGCGAGGCTGGCGCACAGCGTGCAAATGGCAGGTTGAGCTGGGGACACTGAAAGGGTCAGGAGAGAGAGCGCACGTTCTTCTGTAGCCATGGAGAGGACTAGAGGCATTGTAAGAGCTCCGTGGATTGAAATTTATGAAGGTGACTTTGACTGGAGTTTAGTAGAGTATGCTTAGGCAGAGACCAGGGGATGAGTCCCCAGCAAAAAAGATTATTTCAGTGTCTTGGACAAAATGATTAGGTTCTAAAGTCAGGCAGTAGCAGGGGGAATGGAGGAGAGATGCTAAGATTATAGTCGATGGGACTTCCTCGTCAGTTATATATAGGTGGGGTCGGACCTGGGCGTGATTCCTAGGCTTCTAGCTTGGGCATCCAGGTGGATTGAGGGACCATTAAATCAGGACTGGGGGAAGAGGCCGAGGGACAGGCTCTACGGGGAAAGTGATAAAAGTAGACACAGTGGAAAAATGCTTTTCTTTTTTCTTGCAAGTGGTGGAATCACTGCTGACTCTTAAGTTTCATTCTGTACTCCAGGTCAGCTCTTTGATAGGGAATTTCCATCTCAGCAAAACACCTTTTTCTGACACTAAATGTGTTACCTGTTACAAAGATCCTGGGGAATAGAAGGCTTTTTGACCGGAGCAGAAAAGAGAGCCAGTTCCAGGGTCTTTTTCTAAAAGTTTTTGGCTTCGTAGTTCTCAGCACCATCACAGGATGGGGGTGATGGTGTGTATACTGTGGAACAAAGAGAAAAGCGGCCCAGTATCCAGCTTCAGTTCTTGCCCAAACTTTTGAGCTCTGGCTGAGGCCAGCATCGCACAAGGTCTGGGACCACAAGAGGGACTGCGGGGCGCTGTCCAGCGCTGACTGATGTCAAGGCAAAACGGCGGCAGCACAAGTGAAGCTCTCTTAACTGAAGAGCATACATTTTCTCACAAGGTTTGCCGAAAGTTTGGGCATTTACAAGCATCCCTCGAAATGAGGACTAGAATTCAAAGCTTCCGGATGGTGAAATTAGGGACGTCTGTGTTATGATTCTAGACTTTTAGGTGCATTGAGATGTGTCATTTCTAAGAGATCAAATTCAGTGACAAGGGCTGCCCACATACCCTTCCTTTGTATTCACAGTGATAACACAAGAGCGAACTGGCATTTAAATTCTACAAATCCTAATGCGCAGCTTGCCCCTCCTACATGACTTCTTTTGCTTTCCCGTGGATTAATAATATCTTTGGCTTTTTTAAAAAGTCCTTAAAGAAAACGTTGACCTGATTTTTCTTTTTTTTTTTTTTGGGTTTAGCTTCCCCCCACCAAAGAAGAGAGGAAAAACAGCAGTCTCCCTTTAAATAAATACATATATGTAAAACTGATCACATAAAGCAATGATTTCCAGAATTGTTTTGAAGGAAAACGACATTTTAACATAAAAGAGACTAGGAAAGACATAATCATATAATCCCCAAATAAAGAGAGTCCTTGTATTAGTCAGGGTTCTCTAGGGAAATAGAACCAATAGGATATGGCCTGCCTGCCTGCGTGTCTATCTATCTATCTATCTATCTATCTATCTATCTATCTATCTATCTATCTATCAATCTATCTATCCAGATTTATTTTACGGAATTGGCTCATCCCATCCTGGAGGCTGAGAAGCCCAAAACCTGCAGGATAGGCCGGCAGACTGGAGACTCAGAGAAGGCTTGATGTTGGCACATCAAGTCCAAAAGCAGTCTGCCGGCAGAATTTCTTCTTTCCCGGGAGAGGTCAATCTTTTCTCTGTTATGGCTTTCAGTTGATTGGGTGAGGCCCACCTACATTATGGATGGTAATCTGCTTTTACTCATAGTCTACTGATATAAATGTGAAGCTCATCTAAAAAAATACTTTCACAGAAACATCTAAAACAATATTTGACCAAATATCTGGATACCATGGCTTAGCCACGTTGACCATCACAGTCCCCTACATTGAACAGATTTAGCATTGTGAAAGATTGTGCTTATTTTTCTCGTTTCCCTGTGTTGGTAAAACTTCCCAATGACCGGGGTCGGCAAACTGCAGCTCGCAAGCCACATGCGCCTCTTTGGATACGTACATGTGGCTCTGAAGTAAAATTGAAAATGAAAATAAAACTATCATAGTTTCATTTATAAAATTTCTGAAGGACATTATTTACATAATGGTGATTTCATTTGTTTTATGGCTCTCGAATAATTTTCAAATTGTTGTGAGGAACAGGATTGGCTCTTCCATCTCAAAAGCTTGCCGACCCCTGCCCATGCCCATCCTGGTCCCTTGCCTTTTGTTTGGGAATCACTACTAGTACCAAGAAGATGCTATGGCGTTACAGGGTTTCATCTGTCCACCCCTACGGCTGGCGTCACGGACGTGCAGCCTGGGCGGTCAGCCATAGGGCTTTGTGTCTACGAGGATCCCACACTTGTTCAAGTGTTCTCCTGTTACCATATTGAAATTCTTAATTTGTGAACAACCCTCATTTCTGGAGATTCTAGGGGCCGTCATTTTAATTTTGTGCTGGGCTGCCAAATTATGTAGTAGGCCATGTTCACACCTTTAGCAGTGAGATGTATGTATTCTTTTGGCAAACGGTCACTTCTACATGCCAGTCCCAGAGCTGGGTGCTGGGGGTACCAGTGAGCCAAAGCAGACATGACCCCACAAGGACCCAACAGCTCATTGCTCTGCTTTGCTTAAGTCTTCCAAGGGGTGGGGAAAAGGAATCAGGTCTTCCGCAGAGGCAGCCAGAGGGAAGAGAAGTGCATAGCGTAGACTGACTACATTTTCACAAAATTAACTTTATTTTTATTGTTCTAACAGGTGGAAGAATCATCTCCACAAGTGTCTTCCAAACTTCAGCACTTGAGACTAAATAGTTTAACCCCCAGACAACTTTTCAAACCCACACCTGATCAAGAAACCTGATTTTATTTCAGATTGCTCAGACAACTGTCTTATTTTTTTCCCATTCAACACAAAATGAACATCCTGGCTTCAAAGTATCAAGATAAAAGAGGACGTCTATAACTGGAGCTTTATTTTAAGGTGTTAGCAGATGTTTTAAATTCACTCGATCAAAGAAAAGCTTAATGATTTCAATATCTGTCATCATGAGAACTGGTAGCACTGGATATAAATTAAGGAAAAAAATGTTTTACATATATATATATATATATATATATATATATATATAAAATGTTTTAACTTTATACTTTGATAAGTGTTTTATATTTAGGATAATGCCTTATTCACTTCCATGATCATTGTGATCATTGCCAAAGGGATGAAGCGATGGTAAAGATAAACTGTCATTGCATCTCTTACCCCAATTCTAGGACGTCCATCCATCATGTCTCCTGCAAAGTGGTTATCTCTCCAGGCTGCCCTTTGCTCCATCACTGCTTCCTGGCTCCACCGCATCTGGGATTTTTTCCTGGAAATTCCTTTTGATTTGGGAGTGCATTGTGTGTTTTGTTTTGTTTTTCTTAATTTGAGTTATAATTAACATGTAACATTGTAAAAGTTTAAGGCGTACACTGAGTTGAATGGATACTTATGTATTGCAATATGATTATCACTGTAGCATTAGCTAACACCTCTGTCATGTCACATAATTATCATTTTGGAGGGGGGAGCACATTGTTCTGAAGATATACTACTTTGGAAAAAATTTTTTCTCTCATGGTGGTTTTATTTTATTTTATTAGTTTTATTTATTGTTAAATGACAAAAGAAAAAGTTAAGAGGAAGAATTTACCTGTTATCCTAATGCTTTAAAAATAACCTATTGAGATACAGTTTGCATACAGGTCACTCATTTACACAATTGAGTGGCTTTTAGTATGTTCACAGAGTTGTGCTACCAACACCACAATTAGTTTTAGAATATTTTTATATAACCCCCAAAAGAAAGCCTGTACCTCCTAGCTCTAATCCTCTCATCCTCTCCAGCAATAGGCAACTACTAATACTTTGTGTCTGTTGATTTGCCTATTCCAGACATTTCCTATAAATGGAGTCCTTTGTTACTGACTTCTTGGACTTAGCATAATATTTTTGGGTTTCATCCATGTGGTGGCATGTGTCTATCACTGCTTCATCTCTGTTTTTAAAAAGATTTAAAAAAATTATGTACAAAGAGCTAGCATTGTTTCTTTTATCGGTTAGGTGTCCATGCAAGGAAGATCACTCAGGCAAACTTGATGAAACCCACATCCTTTATATACTGATGGAAAAACTGGCTGTATATATTGAGGCCCTATTTCCAGATCAGACCGTGATGGTTTGAGCTGATGTGTCAAGGTCATGAACTCTGGCTGAATTTTTATAGGTTGCTGCAGTAGAGCTGCAGGTGACCCACCTTGCTTTCAGTGATGCCATGAAGCAAAAGGCATTTATCTCTTTTATTACCAAGTAATATTCCATTGTACGGATAGAGCACAATGAATTTATCCACTCATCAGTCGATGGACATTTGTGTTTCCACTTTTTGGCTGTTACAACTAATGGTGCTGTGAACATCTGTGTACAAGTTGTGGTGTGGCCATATATTTTGATTTCTTTTATGTAGATACCTAGGAGAGCAATTGCTGGGTCATGTTGTAACTCTCTCTTTAACCTTTTGAGGAGCTGACCAACTTTTCCAAAGTAGCTGTACCATTTTATATTTACACCAGCAGTGTGTGAAGGTTCTAGTTTCTCCACATTCTTCCCAACAACGGTTATTATGTGACTTTTTGATGATAGCCATGTAGTGGGCATAAAGTGATATTTCATTATGGTTTTGATTTGCATTTCCTAATGGCTAATGATGTTGATCATCTTTTCATGAGCTTATTAACCATTTGTGTGTCCTTTTAGGAGAAATGTCTGTTCAGATCTTTTGCCCAGTTTTAATTTTCTTTTATTATTGAGATCTAAGATTTTTTTATATATCTACATATAAGTCCCTTAAAAACAGTATTTGCAAAACTTTTTCCCATTTTGTAGCTTTATTGTCACTTTCTTCATGGTGTCCTTTGAAGCCCAAGTTTTTATATCATCTGCAAACAGAGATAGTTTTACTTCTTCCTTTCCAATCTGGATGCGTTTTATTTCATTTTCTTGTTAAGGCATTTCTTGTCTTAACCTCGAGTACACTGTTAAATAGATGTGGCAAGAATGGACATCCTTGTCTTGTCCCTATGACTTTATAAGGTTTGCAGGGCCATCTGCAAAATGAAAATGTTGGGACTATAAGTGTACTTTGTTTTATTTAAAGATAGTATACTTAGAATTTGTACATTTTAATAATTTATGTGAATTTATTTCATAGACTAGTAATATTCTCTGAGGGCAGATGTTGTGACCATTGTCACCTAAAATCAATGTATTGTTCATCTCGGGGGTGTTCCTGTCTGCTGGCTATTTCAGCCAGCACTTCCACATCTGTCTCACCCCTTGGCCCTCACCACAGTCCTGAAGTATAGATCTGACCTTTGTCATCACAGGTGGGAAACTGATTCCCAATAAGTCAAATTTAAAGCACCAGTGAGCTGGAATTCAAACCCAGATCCGATTTCAAAACCCATGCCCTTCCCACTCTTCCACGCTGCTTTTTAAGTTTATGGCAAAACCATCCGCCTTTAAAAAATTATGTAACAATAAACATTGTGTAGGCCTCAGTCTAGCATATGAAAATACATTCAGAGGACCCAAAAATTGCATGTCATATTTTTTGGTGTTTTAAAATCACTGTTTATTCCATTTGGTAGAGGGTTTTTTTTTCCATACAAATATTTGCAACAATTTTGAATTCCCCAAAACCATACATAGACGATAAATACCATGCTATTAAAGTATTAAATTTGTACAAAAATACTTTACAGTTTAATACTTGTTTGTTACAAATAAAAATACATATTTAAGTGACTCATGATCTTTTTTTTTTTTTCTTAACATGATTCTGCTTTATACTTTCTTGCCCTGGCAGTCCTGAAATGTGTTTGAAATAATAGATTTCTTTGCACAAAAAGAAAGTTGAACTTTTTCCTTAAACAAAGGACACAGTGTTCAAATGCTTCATCTAAGCGGGTGTTTGAATTATTGACCAAAATGAAAATGTTTGGAAAATAATCATTTCAGTATGGAGATTCTACAATCAATATACAGATCTATTTTTTTTTATATTCACCAAATAACAGTTATTAGTGTAACTATTCAAAATAGCTGAAGAAATGAAAACAGTTGCTGACAAACATTAAAAGCAACTGTCACAAATTTATTGCTTTGAGGGATGGAAATAATTGGCAATGCATTTTGTGAAAAATGTATTTACAATTTCAGTTAAGTGGCATGGCTCAGAACAAAAGATAGTCCAGTGTCATTTTTAAGTACATGTGCTGTACACCCCTCAATATAACCAGTTTTTAAAACATGTCAAGCAATAAGAGTTTGATTTGCTTATCTTTAAGATAAACCTCATTTTAATAGACTTCTTCATTCTCTCTTAACTTCTTAGTCTTGAATTTTAAAAAATAAGATACCTAACTCTTAGTGTTACTAAACACTCTAATTCATTATCAGAGATTTGCAGCTATTAAAAATTTGTCAAAAAAAAAAAACAGGTCACAAGACATATCCTGTTTGATAATTTGTTGCATAGGGAATAGCATACATCTTAGTTAAAATCATTCCTATATTTGGGCAGAACATATACCACCACCTACTATGATCGCCTACGTGCATCATTGCTGAAACATTTAAAGAGAATTTTATACCTGTAGCCCTACCTTAGCAGCAGTCCCAGCAGTTGGCCAAACTCTAGTTCCCCTAGTCGAGCCAGCTTAATAAAAAAGCCTTGTTGGTCAAGTTCTTACATTAATGACTTCATAGTAAGAAACTAATTTCAAAATGAATTAAGGAAATTGTCACATAGAGAATATTTTCAAACAGACATTTCTCTTTTTAAAAAGTGATAGGAAGGTGAGACTGTAAAAAATTTCCTCTGACGTCAATTGTGAGAGGGTGGGCTACTTATTTTCCTTTTTCTCTACCGTTGGGCTTGGCAGGGAATCATCTGCCACGTACCATAGTGGTTGCGGAAAAAAAGAAACCTCTTCAACTCGCAAAGGGAAGTGAACATGAGCCATGAGAGATTTAAAACACCCCTGTGCTTGCAGTTAATGCCACATGATTATCTGTGCTTCGAATGCCACAGAAATCTTAAAGGGATTTTTTTTTTTAGCACCATGTAGATATTGTCTTTTGTCCTGCTTTATAAAAAGCGTTGCTATAATGTGTTAGTGGGCTCTCGAATCTCCAAATTACCACCATGGCTAGGCTGCTGGAAAAAAGCACTGTTCTGTTCACTCCATTCTCCCGGCAGAGTCTGATCTATAGATTTCTGTGAAGCCAGCGGGTTTCTACTAATAACCAGGTCCAGCTTATTACCAGATTCCGCTATGAGGGGCACCACAAGGCAGCAGTCGAAGTCTCTCGTTCGGACATGATTAACCTGAAAGGTCAAGAAGAGCCATTTTGAATTGTTGTTACAGTTGGAATTCCTCAAACCCAGACCCTTCAGGTGTAACAAGTTGTCTTGAAGGTGCTTAAACCAGCACCTGTACAGAGGTCTATCTTCTGACCACGCTGTACGGCGCTCATTGGCTTACTTATTCTCTGCCACTGAATTGTAATGCCCCTGAGAGCCTGGAACAAGGACACTCCCAACATCCCCATGCCCAACGTCTCCTCACTCATGGCAGGTGCTCTAAAGGCTGAATAGTACCCCCAATTTACAGATGAGGAAAGCGAGGCACGGAGTGGTTAAGAGCGTTGCCTTAGAGCTGCAGTCGGTGAGTGGTCGAGCTAGGATGTGATCTAGGCATGCTGGCTGCTTCCAAAGCCCGAGCTCTTAGCAATGATACTGAAACTACCCCTCTGAAATGAGCCCAACCCCTCCTCAGGTAGACATGCGCTCATCTTGCATTTCTCCTTATTCTTTATCAAAAACAGTTTAAAAAACCATCTCCATGCTGCTTCCATTTCTTGGCTGTCCATTCTCTCCCCAGTCTTCCCAGGTCTGGGACCTGACCCTCCTATTGTACAAACGACCCCACGTGTCCAATATGGGAATGAGGTATTGGCTTCTCACCCCCTTTGGCCTCTACCACTCGCCACTCTGGACACG